ACGCCGAACCTGCCTCGTCGCGAATCTTGGAGAGTTCTTGACTCAAATTCGCCTGAGTAAAAATCAACGGGCGTGGTGAGTTTCGCACATTTACCAGACTACACGGTTAGGATTGGATAAATAACTCAGCCCCCTACCTTATTATATAGCAATTACCCAGTGTTTAGATGATTTTAAAATCGGAAAAGACTTAGAATGGGAATTCGAAAGCAAGGAAAATGAGTTGCTAAAAAATTACTCCAATTGCAGTGATTTTCCGATATAAGTGCACCAAGCTGAAATAGGTAAGAGGCGTTTAACATTGAAACAACTGTTAAAGACGGTGATTTCTTCTACACAACTAATAAGATATATAAACTGTTGAGTGTAAGGAGGCAATAGTGGTTTAACCGTAGAGCACAACAACGTAATTTTTAACTGGTTTTGAATAATTCCTAACAAATTAGTCGGTCAGATTCGATTTCCAGATCACACGAAACAATAAATCACTTAAAACTTACTTCTAAAGTGTCTTCCATGCTACAACCGGGGTTACACACGAGTGCGTTATTCTCATACTGCCGAATGTAGGAGTCACATTTCGCGAAGCTATAGGACAGGAAAACAGTATAGGTAGTTTACGTAGCCTTTTTACATAAGCTCAGAGTTGGCAGAAATATGCCTCAAAGGATACATACCCTTGGCTAATAAGTTTACTTTTAGCAGCCGTCAGGTTGCTATCAGGAGTGACATCCCCGATGCCAATGGAGAAACCGCGGTGCGAGAGGTAAAAGAGCCCAATGCGAGAGAGACGCCACATGGCATCTGCACAGGCTTTGCCACCGAAATCACGCAAAATTGAGTAGAAAATACTCGATTTACTACCACCACCCAAAAGTTTTTTGTCCATACACCCGGCCATTAATTCGCTGTTGTAAATCACGACAACTGAAAAAGAAAAGTTAGAAGTTCCTTAGACTTAGCAGCACAGGGTCTTAACGTGGTCGTAAATTGGACTTAGTTACAGAAAAAGGGTTTGAAGCCATGATGACACTAGAAAACTTCCTTAGCGACACGACAATTCAAGACGCATCGTCCTTCTACTCATAAATGCTATACTAACGATAGGTTTATGGATTCACAAACATAAAAGCTGCAGCTCAACACTCTAAACATGATCACAAGCCTTCAAGCATTCGTCTTTTCAACCGCTTATTTGGGAGTCCAGTCATAAAAAGTTATATGTAATCTGATAGGCCCAAAAAGCCTCCTGACAACCCGAAACAAACCCTGGCAACTGCGACCATACGGCAACAAAACAATAAAAGAAGCGCTTACAACCATCGTTGGGGCAGAGTTCTTCTTTACTTCCTGAGTATATTGACTTTGTTGGCAATCGGAGGTTAATTTTCACCTCATTAGAGGGATGAGGTGATAGAATCAAACTAAAAATCTGCTTTCCGGTCCACAGCCGAGTGGGCTAGACAGTAAAAATGGAAGAGATAACCCATTAGTAAACACTTGCAAAGCATTTCAACCACGTTCTGAGCACTGGTAACAGATAGTCAGGACTTAAGGAATGGAAGCATTTTAATATTTCCCATTTCCAATTTAGAATTACTAACAACTTGAACTTGAGCCAGCAAAGCAATACATACCTATTGTTAAATCCAAAAAAGAAATTTTGGCCACAAGTCTGAGCAAATTATTGTAACTTATGTACCCGAAAACACGACACGCTTCCGGATTAGACATCAAGTGATAAATGCTGTAGTATACTGACTCTACATGTTCTTGTTTAATACCATCTTTTTACTACTGAACTAGTAACTCAAGGACAAATTGACAGTCTTATCTTTCTTTTATTAGTTGAGCACCGTTCAAGTTGTCAGCCATATTGCATCGTTCACTTTTATGAACGCATAGCAAGGAGTGTGTGCAGCGACGTTGATAGAGAACCAACACGACTACGTCATACCTTTAAAGGTTGTCTGTGAGCAACGAGTCCTATTGACTGATTTTTAGCTTTTAAGAAACATATACCCATGTCGGCAGTGTGAAGCATCCTTGGTTACCTAGCTGTTTTTAGGTAGCAGATCGTGGTGTGTGTGATCTGATATAAAAACAAAAAAAATACGTATTGATCAAGCAAAGTTACCCAAAGTATCGCTGGTGGAGGTAACTGGAAGTCACAACCAATATGTGAGCCCGCAGCGAGCTGGCACGTTATCTGGCAGGCCTGATCGTGGGTGAAGAAGACATCCTTTAAGGTGAGCAGGTGAGTGGCTGTGATTAAATCTTGGATTGGTGAGATCAAAGGCTCCCCGTTCTTTGGACTTGCAATATTCCTAAGAGACTAAAAGTAAACTTGGTGTGAGCAAAAAACATCATTATTAGTGTGACTCGTGAGCTATAGTTGACTAAGGTACAAAAAAGAAAGACCACGTAAGGCCTAAGTATGAAGTAGAATGGGTTAGCCGCGATAGTTTATAAACTACACTGACATAGTGGTATTGGCAAAGGTCAATTACTCTTCTTAAAATCCTGTTATTACAACTTTAATGGGCACAACAACGGCAAGACTTTATCACTTTTGCCAAATAACCGAGAGGTAATGGGAGTTACAAAAAGGCTATCGAAGTTATTAGAAAATTCAAGGGAGGATAAAATTGCCATCAGAACCAACAGAATTTTTCAACCCTTTGTCAATTATATCTGAGGGACAAAACAAAGCATATTGCTCACCAGCATTAGATGTTTAGCCTCAGCACGAGCTTCCTCAGACTGAGGCAGGTGAATATTCATTTCATCACCGTCGAAATCGGCGTTGAATGGGGTGCAGCAACAGGGATTGAAGCGAAATGTTCGGTTCGGCTTCACGACAGCCTGCAGGTAGGAAAGTTAGTGTTCCATTGAATGTCATGAGTATATGCACAAACAAGTGTTGGTCTACTTGGATTTACATTTACTTAAAAAGATTGCTAATATTGACGGTTTCAGGGAAAAATAACGGGATCGAATTGCATACGACTGGCAATTGAAGTACAAAAAGAAAGAGAAAAAATTTTGATTAACGAGAAAATTTTTTACTCAGATGAATAAAATTAAGAAACCGAAATAGCTATAACTGATATTGTCCAAACTTACAAAACACACTAAAGACGTCAAACACATACTTTAAAGGCTTGTATGGAGACACGATGAAGAGATGGCTGTCGATTGAAAAGAACAATGTCTCCGTCAATGAGATGTCTATCAACCACATCTCCGACACGTAAACTTTTGGACACGTTGTCGCGAATCTTGACACTGGCCAAGTACTTCTTCACCACATCGGAATCTTTTCCAGATTTTTCTGGCCCAGTGGTATGAGAGCGATACCTAACAAATAATGCTCCAGGATGTTTGTAAGGTCCATTAAGAACCAGTCGTCGTAGGAAATCTAAGTTAAATTGCGTTACCCGTTCTGGGTAAGTTAGAAGTTTCGCGCAGTACTCTGGAATGCAAACCTAGTCATTAAGAAAGGGAACAAAATATAGGTTTAACTCAAGGTTGTAAACATGGTGGAATCGCAAAAATGCAAGCAATGATTAATCGAAATTATGAAGGAAGACGTTAGTTCGAGTGTCCAATGATGCACGTAATGGGTATATAGTACGGATTATGAGGCTCCATCAGAAAACCTAGTACAGATGAATATGTTATAAAACGGAAAATTTTAACATCAAGATTGATGGAGTTTAGCCAGTTTAAAATGGATGCTCTGATATACTTTTGCCGTTCACAAAACCAAACAGGGGAAAATGACAAACAGCTTTTCTAATGGCTTGCAAAATGTCCTCAGTATAAAACCGATCTTACTAATGCGCAAAACCGTAAATTCACCGCAGTGAGCCCCACATGAAGTTGGGCTAACCATGAAACAGTTACCACATTTTTTTCCAAAGAATACAAAAAACATATATTTACTGAACGTGTAAAGTATTCCAGTACAACTAGTAGTCTTAAGAGATCAATCACTACTTCATTTAGTTGGAAAATTAGTAGATCTAAGGCTTTTATACTACTTCTATGACTAACCTCATCAATACGAAGATTTGGGTCTGGAGAGATGACAGTGCGAGCAGTGTAATTGGTTCGCTTTCCCAACAAATTACCTCGGAATCGACCATGTTTACCAGACAAACGCTGGAGAAGACCACGCATAAATTTATGATCTTGAACTGGCGGCAAGCCGGAGTGCTGTGAGTTAATTAAGCGCGCAACCTCTGCATGAAGATTATCCAAGCAAGCAATTTGGTCCGGTTCCGAAATATCCTCTTCCAGCGTCGCAGCTTGCGCCAAAATCCACTGGTACATCTGAGTTAAATCATCTTCATTTCTACCAAAGTACACCGACGATTAGCCTTCAAGCATTAAGAGTTTCATTAAAAGGATTTGTGAGCACTCACGTTCCACTTTTCACTTCGGAGATAACAGAAGGCCTAATTGCATTAGGAGGAACAGGAATACGTTCTAGTATTAGATTTCGAGGATGGGAAATCCATTCATAACCCAAAGGCATCATGAGTAATGGGAGATCCTGGGTAGGAATTCTGGAGAAAAGTTGCAAAGCCTTAGAAGGCCTTATTGCCTCCTAAAAGGCGAAAAATAACGGTTGCCTCAGAAACAAGCGCTTGCAATAATGGGTCACAATGATCTTCTCAGTTACACACTACCCACGCACAAAATAAAAAAATTAACTTACAACACACTTTCGGGCCAAGTTGCAAATATCTGAACTAGCTTCGGTTGCATTTGCAAACTTCTCGACATGCTCGTCAATGTTCTTTGAGAGATTTTTTGATAAGTCGTGGATGATATATGAGAGACCAGCCCCTCTCTTTACCGTGCCTTCAAAAATTAATGAATGATTACGAACAAACCATTGATCGTATTACAGAACGGACAAACCACAGTTCTATTTGCAAGTTTATGAAGTACTTTTCGCAGCATTTTCTTTTGAACATACTCCAGGTTTGGGTTGGAACAGCTTGCTAAGTAACGGCTCCTAATTTGTTCAGGTATAAGTACCCTCGAGCAATTCTTAAAACATATCAATATGACAGGAACGCACCTTGCAAATACATTGAAGAATCTTTACAATATGCCAAAGATAACCAACATGATAGACAGGAACAGGCAGATCAAAATAACCCCAGTGACCAATACATGTTTGGTGATCAAGCCCACAGGTCTCACAAAGTTCGTTACGTTTAGTAGCGCCAAGTCTTGGATCAAGCAAGCCATACTCAAGCGCTTTTCTACCGCTTTGGTCTTCCTTATAAAGAAGGCACTTTAAAACCTGGACATGAGCGATTCGTTCAACGTCAGATTCTGTTGCGAGATGAAACCTAATGCTTTTGCTAAAAAGAAAAGCTACTAGCATCACGAATCAAATTTACATTGTTTTAGGAACTTCTGGAGGCCTGTATAACTCTTTCATTTTTTAAAAGCACAACAAATGTGACAACTGACGATACAAGAAACCGCTGTAGTCCGCTGTATATTGGTGTGATGTTGTAATGTGGTGTTGCGGCGTCATATCAGGGCGCAGACATGTTGGGCCACCTGGCCTCAGCCAATCCCGTGTCTCTCTGCGATCCAATGGCATGCGGGAAAGGAAGGCAGTCAACCAGAGAAGGACACGACTGAGGAGCAGTTTATAATGAGCGGCGTGGCCAGCGTGGTGGACTCGGATGGATGGCGTCTGACGCGTAACCCTGGCTTCTGATTGGTCAATAAAGCCTGTTCTGTTGTACCGGTCTTTTACCTATTAGGGCTCGGGTATTCTACAGTGG